TAGTAGCTATGGCCTCCAACCTAGTAGCGATGGCCTCCTCCAACCTACTAGTAGCGATGGCCTCCACACCTACTAGTAGCGATGGCCTCCAACCTAGTAGCGATGGCCTCCAACCTACTAGTATAGCGATGGCCTCCAACCTAGTAGTAGCTATGGCCTCCAACCTAGTAGCGATGGCCTCCAACCTACTAGTATAGCGATGGCCTCCAACCTAGTAGTAGCTATGGCCTCCAACCTAGTAGCGATGGCCTCCTCCAACCTACTAGTAGCGATGGCCTCCACACTAGTAGGGATGGCCTCCAACCTAGTAGCTTAGTAGCGATTGAAGATGGTGCCATGATTTGTGGAAAAGCTGTGACGATCCCAGGCCGAAGCTCCCGCGGAAGCTGTAAGAGTTTGACGCATCCAGAGGTGCTTTCGTTTGCTCGACTCCCAGGTGTAAAATTTCCTTTCCTTTCTTTGCTTCCTTCCTTTCTTTCCTTTCTTTCTTTCTTTCTTTTTTTCCTTTCTGCAACATGTGTTTGTGATTTTTACAGTTATGTTTCAGTCTTTCCCGGTGTGCTTACGACAGTGCACAATGAGGCCTGATGAGGTTATGTCTCACTGCCAATGAGGTGTGACTAGCAGGTGAAAGAACGCAAAACATCAACGTGTATCATTGCATACTAGGAGCAAGGACGCTACTAGGAACAAGTGCATCGCTAGTAGTAACAAGTGCCTTACTAGTAGTAACAAGAAGCTACTAGGGGCTCCTGGCCTTACTACTAGTGACAAGAAGCTACTAGGAGCAAAGGGCATCGCTACGAACGGAGCAAGGACGCTCATATACTTACATCTATAAGGCGCACCGGATATGCCGCTGTATAAGGCAACGTGCATGTTCACCTGCTGGATCATTTGTTCAAAGTAGACTTGGACACTCTGAAATTTGGGGTGGTCTGAGAGGGAGAGAGAGGAAAATTGGGAGCAGAGCACTTGAGGCAACTGCCTGAGGAATAGGTGAATAGGGCCTGGAAAACGCTGAACGCCTTCTCGAACTGAGAGTGTTTCATCGGCTTGATGAATTCCACAAACAAGATAAAGTTGCAAAGGACGCTACTAGGAGCAACGGGCATCGCTACCAGGAGCAACGGGCATCGCTACCAGGAGCAACGGGCATCGCTACTAGGAGCAAGTGCATCGCTACTAGGAGCAAGTGCCTTACTAGTAGTAACAAGAAGCTAGTAGTAACAGGTGCCTTACTAGTAGTAACAAGGTTCGCTACTAGGAAAGACTTGAGAAAGACTTCAGTTCTGTGCAGCAACTCCTCGTTCACTCTCTCCATGGTGCTGCCATGGCCGACCCTTTTAGCATCCGTCCTTGGAACACTGTGGCTTGGCTTTGACGCTCTTCATGACATCTAGTGACGAGTTCCGGGACCTTGAAAAATGAGAAAAGATCCCTAGTAGCGAACATTGCTCCTAGTAGTAAGGCCAGGAGCCCCTAGTAGCGTCCTTGCTCCTAGTGACGAGTTCTGGGACCACAAGAGAAAAGATCCAACATTCTTGAAGTTGCTGCAGATGTCTTGTTGCTTTCCCTAGGTCCATTTGACCAACTTGGCCTCCACACTCGGCCAGGTGGTCTGCTTTTGCACCCCAAAAAAGCGGTTCCGCTCATCACTTCGATCGAATCGCGCAGGGAGAGCCACGCCGACCACGCAGCCAGCCTAACTGGGCACCCTTGCAGAAGGTGGCCTTGCGTTGCCTGGAGCGCCCCTTGAGCCCAGCCTCCTTCCTCGCCCGGAAGGCCGGTCGAACCGGTCGAATGACGGGGTCGAAGGCCGGTCCACCCGTTCGCGTCCTCGCGTCCGATCGCTCCGTTCGTGATGCCAGCCCTAATAGCTTGTTCCTAGTAGCGAACCTTGTTACTACTAGTAAGGCACTTGTTACTAGAAGCGATGCACTTGTTACTACTAGCGTGGCACTTGTTACTACTAGCGTGGCACTTGTTACTAGTAGCTTCTTCTTTCCTTTTTGTTTCGAAACAAACAGAAAAAGAATCAATCTCGACGACTCCAATTCGTGCTCTCGTCTGGAACGGGCGGATTTCGAAAGTTTCAGATGTGAGTGCAGTTGAACCGCGAAGCGAGGAGGATTTTTTCCCCTGTCGAGCTTTGTGTCAAGGCAACTGGAAAATTTTGTGTCAAATTCTGGTTGCTTCACCAGTTCCGCGCTACTAGTAACACGTGCCACGCTAGTAGTAACAAGTGCCTTACTACTAGTAACAAGTGCCTTACTACTAGTAACAAGAAGCTACTAGAAACAAGTGCCTTACCACTGGTTGCTTCACGTTGACATTCACCAGTTCGTTCCCTTCCCGAAAGCGCTTCCCCCGGCGTAGCGGCATCGCCGAATGCGATGAAAGCCGCCCACAGCACACGACGCACACCTGCGCAGCGTTGGATTCGTTGTAGCTTCTAGCCAGGAGATCGTGGTGCCACGGACCTCACACCCTCAAAACCAGGAAACCCTTGTTACTAGTAGCGTCCTTGCTCCTAGTAGTAAGGCACTTGTTTCTAGTAGCGTCCTTGTTACTACTAGTAAGGCACCTGTTACTACTAGCGTGGCACTTGTTCCTAATAGCTTCTAGCTACTAGTGGCTTCTTGTTACTGACCTCCAACCCACAAGGGATGGCCTCCACCTAGTAGGTTCTAGCTACTAGTAGTTCAGCCATTTTCAATCTTGAAGTTTTGAACATATTTTTGGGAAGATGGGGCAAGCGATTGCTTCAGGCCGGATTGCGTGAAGTGCTTCTTTGAAGGAAAGAAGAAGGTCTAAACAAAAGAACGATAAAAAGGAAAGTGCAAGAGGAATAACACAGCGAAGGAATGAATAGAACATAAAGAAGAACAACATGTAGAGGATTTTAAAGGTCTAAAACAAAAGAAGGAACACGTCAAAAGTCCATTGCTAGTAGGTTGGAGGCCATTCCTATTAAGTTGGAGGCCATTGCTATTGGGGTGGAGGCCATTAGTAATTTCTTCTTTGCCTTTTTTTTGCGCTTGTGCTGCTTGCGCTGCGGTGCACCGCAGGTGGCACAAGAGGCAGTAAGTGCCTACCCGGCAAGTGTGGCACAGCGGCTTCGTGCGCGGAGGTCCTCTCGAGAACGAGGCAAAAGCTGCATACGCCGCTGGAAATCAGCAAGCCTCCGACCTAGTAACAAGGGCATCGCTACTAGTAGCTCCTGGCCTTACTACTAGTAACAAGAAGCTACTAGTAAAAAAGGCATTACTAGTAGCGATGGCCTCCACCCTAGTCCTAGTAGCGATGGTCTGGTAGCCATGGTTTATTGAGCTTCACAAGTGCAAAAGTAGCACATGTGCTTTGCCATTTAGCGCAAGTTCTATGCCACACAGGATCAGATTCTGTTTCTCTCACACAGAAACCTGTGCTTGACAAATCCTGTGCTTGTTTTGCTTTGTCAGGGCGCTGTCTTCCCAGAACTAGGGCACAAACTGCAGGCATAGTTGAACGGCAGGCATCTTAGAGTTTCCTCAGTTTCTATGGTCATCATGAAGTGGATAGAACGTGGAACAATGACGAACAATCTCCAAGCCCAATGGTGGCAGTCAAAAAAAAGCATCACACCCAACCTAATAGCAAAAGGAACCTACTAGCAATGGCCTGCAACCCACTAGCGATGGCCTCCAACCTACTAGCAATGGCCCCACGTTTACTTTTTTCTAATACTTTCTTGCCATTCTAACTCGTACTCGCGATGCTCTGGTTGGCAGAACACTTCCTTCTTCATTCCCTTCTTCCTGTCAGCCTCCTCTCGAGGCGCTTTCGAGATCGTGGACGACGCGAGGGTGAAAGCGTCGGGGTTCTCAGCGGTGGAGGCCATCGCTACGAACGGGGCTACTAGTAACAAGTGCCTTACTAGTAGTAACAAGGACGCTAGTAG